TTTGAGCCATTTTTCTAAGATTCAGCCTTTGTTATTATCCTTTTTGCTGATTAGTTCAGAATCTGATTTATTAAGAAGTTAAGCAGTTTCTTGTCCCCGTTCATTCTTGTTGTTAGATCTCCTGCTTCCCTCATTATCAACTTGCACTTTCAAAGACCTTTCAGGTAAAAATCTTTTGAGTTGAAGGGTGCAGGTGCAATTCAATTCATGGAAGACACTGTTAGATATCCAACTACCTGAAATTTTAATCTAATTATTTATTTGATTTTATGCACAGAATAAAATCCTCTGCCTCACACTTTATGAAAACTTGCTCAATCTCATGGTTAAAATGCCAAATTAACAGAATGTTACTTCTGATGATTTAACTTAGTGCTGGTAATATATTGTGTACACTGTGTCATATTTATGGCTCAGCAAAGCTGTTACTTTGAAATAAGTCTCCAGGTATAAACCTTTCCTTTATTTTGAAGCACGTATTCTATAAATAATTCCCATCCAGAATCTCCATTCTCCGGCATCTTCAGTCATTGCTGGATTGTGTTCTCAGGTCCAACAGATGAGTTTGGTAATTAATTATATCACAAGTCATTTGCACTCAATATTTAGTTATGTTCTCATTAAAATTCCCAACGAATTGAGCCAAGGCACATACGCGATGCTGCTGTGAGCCTCAAGCCAGGTAATAAAATATGAAATGCACATCATAGTGTTATCAAAATATGACACACAAATATGTGCTGTTTGCTGGCACATAGAACAATTCCAGCCCAGAATTCAACTCAGGGCACCAACAGAGTTCTACACTACACACAAGGCAATTACAGATGAGAGTCACATATGAAAAAGAAAGAAGATGTGCATTTATTGAGCACCTTTCACAATTTCAGAATATCCCAAGGGCTTGATCCAACAAATTACTTTTGAAGCACTATTGCAATGTAGAACAACAGCACCCAGTTTGTTTTTTCACCTCTAACAAACAGCAATAAGATGATGACCAGATTTTGTGATACTAATTGGGGAATAGATATTGCCCAAGACAGTTCCCTGAAATGGAAATTATTTTTTTTTAGCAGACAAAGCCGATTTAACTTTTTAATATGAAAGTTGGCATCCTCAACAGGGTAGCATTACATTGGAGTGTCAGCTTGGATTTCTGTGCTGCAGGTTTTGCAGATGGATTTGAATGCATAATCTTCTGACTGAGGCAAGAGTGCTACGAGCTGAGCCACAGCATAGTGTTACAATTCCACGTTACACGTTGAGCAGTATTACAGTCCCATGTTGCACACAAGCCAATGTTACAGTCCCATCTCATACACATAGCTACGTTACAGTCTCATGTCACTCACCGAACAGTGTTACAGTCCCATGTCATACATTGAGCAGGTTACAGACCCATATCACACAGACAGGAATGTTCCACTAAGCACACCGGTCCTATTTTTACACAGGGGACAACCTTCCAGTCCCAGATCACAGACAGTCGTGTTACAGTTCCATTTCACAAACAGTGTTGCAAAGCCTGAATGACATGCAGGGCTACATTACTGACCCTGAAAATCGTAACGACTTAGACCTTGAAAACAGGTCATTAAAGCCATCATGTCTATGATACCTTTTGCTAGCCCGAGCCCAAACTAATCCCTCTGACCGTGAGCCTGTTTCATCCCCAATATTTATTTGTTTCCTCAGAAAAGATGCACTGATTCCAACTGCAGCCAATGCCTGCTGCAAAGCATCCACAACTCAGTGTTGCAGGGCTGTATTGATTGTGATCTTTGACGCATTGGCTTAGCTGAGCATTCTTGATTTGTATGCTGAGACAGTGAATGTCGGTAATCTATTAAACAATGGACAGAGGACATCAAAATTGTGACCCCCCCCAACCACCAACTCCCAACTCCACCTCCCCCCCTCCACACCACATTGCAGCTTTTAGCGATCTGGCGTATTTTCCCCTTTACTGACCTAAGGCTGCAGAGTTCTTTTGCAAACTAATATAATGAAGTTTAGTGGCTGATGTTTGTCATGTGTCTCTCAACAAGAAAGAAAAAGGTGAGGAGTGATGAATTCAGACAACTCATTCTAGGCACGTCTCTGCAGCACATGGTGTGAGGTCTAATCACAATTCTCCAAAAGCCAAGTTCCACCGCCTTTCTCCAGGTGTAGCACTGGGTGAAACATAATGAGTCTCTTGCCTCATTCCAGATACAGTACATGATGTTCCATGGACACCGTGTTAATTGACTTATTCCTTTTGCAGGACCATAAGCTCAGCTGCAGGCCAATCCTCCACACGCTGTGCAAAATGTACAATCACACAGTACAGATGGAAGTTATTCAGCCTGCTAAGCCTATGCTGGCCCCTCTGAATAATCTATCTGATTTGTTCTACCCCCTGCTCTTTCCCTAACCTTCTCTTTTCAAGTATGTATCTCAATTCACTTTTGAAAGTTATTATTGATTCTTCTGCTTTTCAGGCAATGTATTCTGGATCATAGCTGTTTTGTTGAACAGGAACAGTCTGATTAATGAGCTATACCATTGTCATAGATCAACAAATTGCCTGAATCTCTGGTTTTGTGACTTTTCTTTTACTGCAGCAATATTAATCCTTCTGTCAAACAGCATGTCTTATTGTGCATCAGCTAATTGCATTTCTCTAGTTTACTTTCTTCATTTCCTGAACACCCAAAACACGTCCTACTTGCACTAGCCCAGCACCCGATATTGCAAAGTGTTTGATCTTCATGTGGGAGAGATCGTATCATATTGAAGTTAATTGTATAGTAGTTGTGTCTTTACAGACAACACTTGGTCCATCTGACCTCCTGGACTGGTTTAAATTGTCTGAGAGTGTAGGAGAAAATCTTTCTTGAGTAGCTTCGCTCTATTATCATTCTATTTATATTTATTTTGTTTGGATCTCCCAGGAGATTTTGTGGCATTTTCTGGGGGCATGGGCAGATTATCAGAGGAGAGAGCGTTTAGTTATGTTGGTCCAACTATTATGGTGTGAGCCATGCATGATGGGGCAACCCTTATCCTGGAAAAGACAAGGACACAGTCAGCAAATACTTGATATTGATAGCTTAATGTACCTTTCCAGCAATGAAATGACTGATTAACTAGACTTTGCGGATTCAGCAATGGGAGCAAGATACAGCCCTCCAGTGGTAGAGGTAGGAAATGACAGGATAGAATTGCGATGCTTACCAAGTGGAATAGCCTCCTGACACTCCACTGCAAGGGCATGCAGGTGAAGGGCAGCCATTTAGCTGGGGGAATAGATGGCATCTAGAACCTGAAATCTGCAGCACGGAAAAGAGGAGAAATGAAATAAAGATTTTTTTTGTTTAGAAAAGCAAGCCAGTGGCAACATCTTTTTACAACTACTTACGGTTTTCTTTTTTGCAATTAATTAGAATTGGAATCTTGATGCATTGTATTACATTATAGTTTAGAATAGGCCAGCGTGAAAACGAAATGGACATTTCAGTTTTAACTAGATGCAAAGATTAATTCCAGATGGAGCTACACATTGGCTGTTTCAATTTCATCAATGGCCCTTTTGTCTAAAACTGTTTGAATCGTGACCCCTAGTGGACAAGCATCAGGGTAGCAGTGAACACAGCTTGAGGATAGATGCACATCAGTGAGCATAGGGAACCACAGCAGTGGTCAAAACAAAACGCAAGATTTAAAAAGAGAGACAAATTAAGTGGGAATTTAAGACATGAAGCAGGGAATAAGGTATTGGATAATGTCACATTGGAACTAAAGAGATTTTTTTTTTTAAAAAAAAGTTAATTTCCTCCGTCTGCAACGCAATTGGGCTGTTCCTGATATGAGCCCTGGTACCAAAAGGCTAAATGTGGAGGAGTCACACTTGCTGATGAAAGGAAAGTGCAAACTCTCGGCTAGGTTCCCTCAGAGATGGGGTAAGATGTTCCTGGAAGCGGAACTCCAGTATTAGAATTGTGGACAACATGGGGAGGAGACAGAGAGCTAAGGTTGGAGGGAGAAAACTCAAAGGGAAGTTGATCACCTAAACAAAATGCAAATAGGAAACCAATCATTTACCTTGATGCTGCAATTTTGTACCCTCTTAAACAATTTTAGCATGATGGAGATTTGGCAAGTGTCACAAAGTCTGATGCAGTACCTGGAGTGGGGATATGAAATGTAATTATAGGGGGCTGCTCGGACATGTGTAAACGGGAATGCAAATTGAAAAAAAAAATGTAAATATTAAAGAAAATCAGAATGTGACAGGGGCCACGGTTCACTCTAGGATTTTTTTTTGTTTCAATGAGGACAATAATTGTCATTCTAGAATGAAACGGTACTGGTTTGGGGAGGCGGGGAGAAAAGAACGAGTGTAATAGCGCCAGGACACTGCCTGGGTGCTAAAGAGAGGGATCTATTTACATGGCAATCTGTCTGAAGTAGAATTAAAGTTTTCAGCAAAGAATAGGAACGGGAACAGCTCCCCAGTCTGCTGCTGCCCTCCCCTATCTCTCATTAAGCTGGAATTTGTGGCGAGTTGGAGTGCTGGGGGGGTTATATTTCCCTCCTACCACCATCATCCTCCACTCTCAATTCAGCAAGCAGGGTTTCAGTGCGCTGTGCAATGCTTCACAACGCTCTCCTCCTCCAGGGAGCCTTATTAATCTCATAATTAAACATTTATTGGTGCGGGCACCTGGTTTCTGCTTCCACCACTATTCTATTCGCGCCCCCCCAACAATCCTCTCCAGAGACTCACAGGAAGAGAAATGCGGAGACTGAAAGAGAAAGCAGCGAGGGAGAAGTGAAAAAACCCCATCAGTACCGTGCTAAGCTCAGTGAGCAGACTGCCTGCTTGTAAACAGCACAGACTGAAGTTATTTGAACTGGCACTGAAGACATTCCAGATCATTGTCTCTCCCTCCCTCTGACTTTTTCCCCCAAAATATATACATGTGAGAACAAAACAAAACTAATGCATAATCATGATGTTGCGCTACCTGCTGAAGACCTTGCTACAGATGAATCTTTTTGCAGATTCCATCTCGGCTGATTCCGTTAACTCCACCGATCCGCTCTTCGCTTTCAACGGCAGCCTGTCCAGTTTCGGTGATAACCTCACAGACATTGGAAACCTGACTTATGTCAACGGTGAGTGGGCCTTGTAAATGATGCTAATAATAAAACAAGCGGTTTGTTGGGGGGTGCACTATATAAATGTGTATCCTAATGCATTGAACAGTCTGAAGTTAGAGCGAGGGGCTCGGGCTCAGTAAACTTTCGATGATGTGACACTCACTGTTTAACAGAAGCGAAATCGGGACGCTGCAGTTTGGAACCCCGTGAGCAGACAACTTGACACCATTAAGTTGCCTCTCAGGGTGCGGATGATTTCAAAGGGACTTGCTCAAAGAGTCTGAGTACATTCAGAGGCAATCTATTTGAGCTGTGATTTTGTTTTTGATTCCAGCGAAACCCTGATTCGAGTAAATCGCATTCCTATGGTGGTCTATCTTTACAGAAAAAAGTGACTTGCCTGAAGCTCTACCTATTAGAATGGTTAGAATTGTTAAAAGGTTTTATTGTCATGAAATATTCATTGATTGCATTTTATATCAGTTTAATTTTTTTTCAGAACAAGCATTATCCCATTTTTTCTCAGGATTGAGAGCAGTAATAAAAATCTAATTAAAAATCAATTTCCAGCTGTATTTCATGAATAATTCTTAACTTTTTTTCTATATTGAAGGTGTAAATTTTACTATTACCATAATAATGTTGTGTTTTACTGGCGTTTATGTGTCTGTGGGTTAGCTATACCAGGTCCTTAGCGTGACCACTGACCGGGTGGCTGTGACCTTTTTAAACACTATCTCTGTCCTCATCCTTGTAGTATATCTTAGACTCTGCAGAGTCCAATTGACATGAACATACCTGAGTTTAAAACATGGAACATGAGTTTAAGCATCATGGAACACCTTAGTATGCAGAAGGGATTTAGATTTTTTTTTCTCTGAAGGAAAAAGGCCAGCTCATTCTTAAAGGGACCACTGTGTTGGCAACACATCTTGCAAAGCCTTCCTAGATCTGGTGAGAAAACAGAGGTGTGGTGATATATGGACAAGATGTTTATTTTCAGACTGCTGCAATGATAGATGATGAGTGATGTAACTAACATAAAGTGTAAAAAGAAGCCCTGGAACAAATATAAACCTTCCAGTGGCACTGGCTTGGCATGGTGCTACCATTTCAGGGAACACTTGATGAAACAAGGGGCACCGCCAAACATTGTGAAGAATATTCACGAATTTGTGAGATAAAACCATGTCGAATAGTTTCAGCTCAAGGAGAGCTAGGTGGAGGGTGGTGAGGAGGCTTGTAATGGGAGTTTTTGCACACTGCATTAACTCAGTCTGACTCAGATGGGAACTGAATTCAGATGGAATCCTTCAGCGTCTCCCCCAACATGACCACTACCAGCCAATAAAATCCACCAGCAGTCAATCAAATCCATTGGCTGTCAATCCAGACAAAAGGAGCTTCACCTCAGCCCCAATCAACATCCCGACCCCAGTCAACTGTATCAAAACATCGTCTGCTATTCTCACCTACATAACTAAATAATTGCACTCCAAGAGGTGTATGAAGTGCTAACATTAAAGTGTGGAACTGGCTAGATTGTTTCCTCGACAAATATTTAACTCTCAATCAACATCACTAAAACAGATTATATGGTCATTAACATTTTAGTGTTTGTGTGAAATTTCTGTGCACAAATTGGCTGTCACTTTTCATATGTTACAGCAAAAGCACTTTACTGACTGTAAAATCAGGGATAGCCTGGGGATATGAAAGTTGCTATATAGATGTAAGTCTTTTCTTTTAGCTTATGGAGTAGTTGAGACAAATAACATAAATGCATTCAAGTGGAGACTGGACAGGTATATATGAGGAAAGGAAAATGGATAGTACCTTGTGTACTGTATGAACAATGATATAGAATTGTTCATTGTGCTGTAAAATCTGCATTCTATGCAAAATATATTGAACCCATACGTAAGTTAATTGCTACAGTGTCAGACATTGTTTCTTTTTCCATACAGCGATGTGATGACCAAACTTCATCCCAAAAAAAAGTCAACATTCTCCCCAATTTCCTTCAGTAAACAAATGGTGAATCCTGTTTCAATGAAAACAAAGAAAAGCGCAGGAAACATAATACCCTGAACATTATAAATGCAAAGAGCAAATCTTTGCTAATTGTATTCTTTGAATAAATTGAGCGTCTAGTCTTGTGATCATCATTATGATGAAGAACTGCTTATGTAGCTGTCAAAGAGTTAGCCCTCATTTTACTTCAGTAAATGCTCTTTAGTTGGGACCCACCAGGATCTTCTAGTACCGGATATTTTGGTAAAATGATATTATAAAATAATTGGAATAGAATATTTATTTTTTCCTAACTGTAGACTGCCTCAGATATGTTGGTGAGTTGTTTGTAATTTACTGACCAGTACACATTTGCTTGCAAGAATACAAAATGGTGTTAGACTGGAGAAAAATCATCTTTCTTTAAAGGGACTATCCTCAACCTCTTAAAAAAGGAAGAGTCACCTAATAGTTCAGTAATGGATACTCAATGTGGTACTGAGCCTATGAACCAGAGAAACTTATACATTCAATCCTCTGCGCTATGTTGAATGATCTGAGCTAAGACACATGTTAAAGAACTATAGTTTTCCAGACAATGCCTGACTAGTTCCCACTTCTGACTGTCCTGTCGTGACTCCTGTTAAACAGCCCGTGAACAGCAGATCAGGACAGAGTTGCTTTCAGTTTCCCCACAGTTGAATAGTCTAAATTGCAATCTGCATATGCACATAAAGGATGGTCAATAAGGTAAGGTTCAGGACAGTTTTTCTCACCTGCACAACTAACAAGGATTTTGGGAGAGGAGGGGACTAAATTGTCTCTGAAGCAGAAGCCATTACAATTGTCCTTGTATACTTTCTGTGCTGAGGTTCTGACCTCAGCTTCTACTCTGACTGTAGTGCAGCGATTGGCACAAATTAGTCACCAGCTTGTGCCCTCTCATTCTGGCATGCTCTAAAATAGGCACACCTGTTAACAATTGAAACAAATTTTTTTGGAAGGCACAGTCAGTTAATAATTGTCCTGATCTGCCAGATGATTCCACTGTAAACATTAACCTTCTTTCACTTCCAAAGGACAATGCACTTTCTGCCTTTTCTTGCTGCTATAATTTCAGATTTCCAGCTGCTTTTCTAACCATAAATAGGTCTGATAGAACAGAAGGATTGGCTGAATAAAATTGCACACTGGAGACAGACTTAAAACATGGCCCTTTCTCTATCTTTTCTCTCTTACCTGTATTCACTTTTATCTCTGCTGTCATTGTTGTTGGTGACTTGCAATGGAATCATATCAATGCAAAGAGTCATGGGTCAGAGGTTAGCTTATATATATCATGTGAAAATGTATGACTGCTGAGGTACATTGACATAGACAATGCAATTTCTAAAAGACAGATGCATGAAGTAAGAAAATGAAGTACTTCCTTTGTGAAATAGAATTATGCACTTAAAAAAATGTTACATTGGCATTACACTGAGGAAATTTATGAGCTGGATAAAGTCGAATTGTGAAGATATTTGTTAATATCACACATATTTTCACCACAGACAGAAATATATCCTTTGTTTCATTGAATAGAATCATATAACGCTCTTGAGTACAGAAAGACTATTTGGCCAATTGTGTCTTTGTGAAATTGGTATCTAATTAATCCCATTTCCCTGCTTATGGCCTTAAAAATTTCCTCCCACCTACCCTACAGTATTAATCCAAATCTTTGTTGAAAGTTCGTAACAAAATGCTGTATAATGTCTCCTTTTGATTCTTTTGGCAATTTCCTTACATGTGTCCTCTGGTTACCTTTCTTTTGCACTGATCGAACTTACACTTAAATACATCTCTGTCCTTCACCATGTGGTTACCAACTCTTCTTTCTATTTATTTTTATTCAAAACCCTTCATAATTTTGAATGCTTCTATTAAAGCTATTGGCTTGATCTCTTCTAAGGAGAAAATTCACAGCTTCTTCAGGGTCTCTACATAGCTAAAATTACAAATCCCAGCCACCATTCTAGTATATTGCCTCTGCATCCTCCCTAAGTTCCTGACACCCTTCCAAAGGCTGGTGCCCAGCATAATACTCCAGCTGGGGCCTAACCAGACTTTTATGAAAGTTCTGCGAAAGTCCCTTGCTTTTGTCTTCTGAGTGAAATTTTAACTCAATCTAAAGCCATTAGCTTGCAATTAAAATTGGACCAAATGCCTCTATTTATAAAGCTGAGAATCATATTCATGTGAAAGGTATAGTTTCAGCCCTTAAATGGAAAGGCTCCTTTTAAGTCAAAAATAATGCAATTTGCAGAGCAGTATAGATTATCAATCTCTCAATGACTCCTTTATATAAAGTTCATTAGGATTTTCTAATGTCGATGTATTGATACTGTGCTGGACCTGAGATTAGTGTACAGGTGAACAATTGCACATGGAGGAATGAAGCAGCATCAGCCAAGCATGATGCTGTGTCAGCTTGTAGCAGTTGTTTGTACTATTTACTCTGGGTCAGAAGGTTAGACTTGCAGCAGGATCTCGCACTCTCAGCTGCTGGTCCTTTGCAATGCTGAGGGAGTGTTGCACAGTCTGTCCTTTGGATCAGACGATAATTAAGATTCCATCTAAATGAACCAGTGGGTCAGGCAAGCACTGAGGATCCTATGGGATAACATTGAGGAAGTGCAGGAATTCACTCCAGCATCCAGGCCTACAATTTTATCACCGAAATACTTGTAGAAAGCGCATTAACTACTCTTACTATTTTGCTCTTTATAGGACCTGTGTTCAAGTTGACCACAGCTCCAAAATAATCCATTGAGTGTGTAAAGGACATTGGAATATAATGAAGAAGTAACAGGAGTTTACATTATGCATCTTGAGCCAGGAGGTCTGATTCAAGACCAACTTGCTCCAGAGGGTGTCATAACATCTGAACAGGTCAATTAAAAAATGTAAATACGATGCCGGTTCCTTCTTAGTTAGCCAGCTGTGGTAATCCCTGTTGG